TTTCAATCNCTTTAATGACAGAATCAGAGGGATGAACNCCGACGCTATATACCATAGTTTGGCGGCGGCCAGTGCATTGGCCACCGTAACTCTGCCGGTGAAGGAAAGGATCTGGTTCCCCACACCTGCAGAGTTTCAACGAATTTTCGTTTTCCCTCTTTTCCAATTTGTGACAGGCATGTCGATGTTCGCGAAGGTTCCACCGAGTAGACGGATAGACCCCGATGTCCATTGTATGTTAACCGGACTGTCGGGTCTATGTCTCCATTTTCCCAGCCATAGTCCCTCACACTTATCTAAGTTATATTATAACCTAGAACCAGAGCCCCTGTTATAGAGGTCAACCAGGTCAAAGAGTCTCACTATCGATTTCGCTGTACGCGGACGATAACTCTGCCTTCCCCACATCAGACTCTGATGTGGGGAAGGCAGAGTTATCGTCCGCGTACAGCGACATTTTGGCTTCGTAGCCACCTGGTTATTTGATTCCGCACATCTCGGGGTCTTTGCAGCACTGTCGCTGCAAACGGTTCGAGTGAGATCGCATACAACTTACAAGAGTGGGGAGAGAGGACCCATTTTTAATTGGGCAGCCGGGCCCGCGAGGGGCTGACGTCGTGAAGGAATAAGTAGGAATGGCATGAAATAATCCAGCCCTATGTTGTTTGTACACTTTCCATTGTGGTCCTAAAACGCCAAGATCATAGTTACATTGTTGCAATATAACAATGTTGCTGACGGCCCGGTCTGGAACCCGTTATCGAGGCCCGGGTATGATATAAATGAAGTTATTGTTTGTCCCCGGCAGTTGTGGGAGTGGTTGAAGGGGCCTGGGCTGCGGTCTGGTCTCAAGGAGCACTCCCACATCAGCCAGGGACGACGCCTGGGACCTGCTGGACCTGTTGGACCAGCCGGGCCCCTCGCGGGGCTGACGTCGTCCAGGATTAGGCAAGTAGGAATGAAATGAAGGAGATGGGACGGAAAATACACGTAATACTAGTAGTCCATTTATCGACCCCTATGTTTGTTTGTACACTTTCCATTGTGGTCCTAAACGCCAAGATCATAGTTACATTATAGCAATATAACAAAGTTGCTGACAAAACAAATTAAACTTACTTTGTCTTATACAATAACTTCATTTTTTACATGCCAAGAATTATGCTTAAAACCATGTCTGTGATTAACCTGGGTGCCAACCCCAGTAGTATTCGCCCGCTAGCTTACAACTGGGTGTGGACGCATATGAAACGTCTGATGATGACGTCACGTAATGAGCTCGCTCGAATTCGAGCTTGTGCCAACTCCCCCAGCATGTTATCTCTCCCTATTTGGCCAATTCTACTCTTTGCAGCCGCCTCCCGAAGCCTGGTAGAGGACAGGGAAGCGTAGGAATTCGTTTTGCGACGCTTCGCACTTCTGGTCAGTGGACTTGGCGACTGGGAAACCCCTGACGGAGTTGACACAACGGTTCCTTAGCCTCGATAGCAGGCTTATAGAAATGGGGGTTTGGTGCTCTTTCGCTGTTTTCTGATTAGCCCAGCCAACAAACGGGGGGAATTCAAGCAGGCCGGCTATGTTGTCTACATGCAATCAGAAAATAGCACATAAAAGCTCCCAAAGACCCTGAAGACCCCCCAAACCCCCAGTTTTTGGCATGCTATGGAGGCTACCTGAAAATGTAGTCTTATTTTGAAATCCCTCCATGCTTTCCTTCGTCTTTCTCTCATTAATGGTCTCTCCATGTCACCCCATCCAGACGTACTGTACTCACATTAAAGGTCTCTCCATGTCACCCCATCCAGACGTACGGAACTCACAAAATCCTCCTTCCTAACAACGTCCTCATCCTGGAGAATGTGGCCCACCTGGACGAGATGCCCCCTAGCGGATCCACCGTGTACGCCATACCCATAAAGATCGGCGGCTGAAGCGGAGCTCCCTCTCGAGTTTTCGCAATCGT